GAGGTAAGAATCATCTATGTACCCAAGTGACCTTTCTGTCTTAAGGAAGAGTACCCTGGTTTTAACAGCTTCTTTATTTCTTCCTCTTTATAATCAAACTGAATTTCAGGCCACGGCCTTAGTTGAGTTGGATTTTCAAGTTCTGTACCATGTTCAGTATATTTTGGTCTGCTGTGATACTCATCCATGTTGAACAAAATGCCTCAGCCTACCAGCAAATTTATTTGTTGTTAGACTAACCTGTGTAAGGTTTGAGCTTAGCAGTTGTTCTTCTTCCCCTTCTGCTTCCTCAGAGGTGGAGGGGTCTCTGGAAGTTTAAATTCTTTGACTGCTTGTTATCGGAATTGTGAAAAAGCAAAAAAAGCCTTTATACAGGCCCAAGTGGAGCATGGGGCCGGCGCTTAAGTCCGGTTTCCTTAGCATGAAGCGCCTAGGAGTATTGCTACTCCCCCCTGGATGGGGTACTAGTCCATCGCAGGGTTACCCCAGCATATTTGCTGGTACCCATTTGTACACCTGGGTGAAGAGGAGTACTGTGAGAGTAAAGTGTCTTGCCTAAGAATACAACACAATGATCTCGGCCAGGGATCGAACCCGGACCACTTGAGCCTGTTTGTGTCTGTGATGCCCTTAACAGACTTCAGGAGATCATCTCCAAACAATTCAGCTGTCACTAGATTTGATGGGCTGCAAAGATGTCTATAATTTGTATTGAGTTGTGGTCTCATCAACTCTCTCCGTCGATAGTTTAACTCCTGGTTAGCATTTGCTAAGAGGAGCACCCCATCCATTAAGGCACTAACTGAGTTGCCCATCAGCTTGTTCACCTCTAAGACGACTATTATTGTTCTTTTAATCAGACTTTTCTAAACCTTTTGGAATTTTAAGTCAGTTGACCGAGCTGACTCATCTAATTTGCTCCAGACACCTTGATTGACCTTTCTCTCCGACAAGGAGGCGCAATTTTCGGGAGTTTCGTGTTGTTTCTTTAACTCCATTATGTTGTCCTCATCAGCTTTCTCCCTCATAATTTTATCCACAAGTGATGCAAGTTCCCCATCGATAGCAAGACCTACATGTTCGGTGAGCTGTAGGGTTTTGGCTGGCTTAGTAATCAGGAGATTGCTGTTCTTTCCTTGTTCGTTCAGCCTCTTTTTCTTAGCGGGTGGCTCTTCTTCGAC